AGGGATGCCTCATTATGGTGTCATCTATCCCAAATGTAATTCACTGGTAGGGCAGGGTAATGTGGTGGTTAGAGCGTGGCCCCTACACAAACCTCTGATATTCTGTTATGGGTCCGAAGCCCACAGAGGTCGCGAGTTTTTCTACTAATGTGTCAGATGGATACTATTTTTACTGAGGTAGCAGGATATACCTAACTTGAGAGCATGGGGGCTAGCTACAAGCCCAGGCACCTCTTTCTCCGATATTCTGTCTAACACAGCTGCGAGGCGTTCGACTCATCAGTAGCTCCTCCGACGTTCCCTATGTGTCTTCTGGTAGATATTTTATTGTTACAATATACAGTTAGTGACCTAACTCATGAAATGTGTCGAAATTTACGAATACATGCGAATAACTCGCAAACCAATACCATTTCATGAGTCCAATGTCTACGTTAATTAAGTACAAGATTAAAAGAATTAAAAGCATAAAATAAATATTAAAGGCAGTGTTGCGTTGTTTAGAAATGCCAATTTCTCTAGAAAAGCGCGATATCCCGAAAACGTCAGAAATGGCTCTAGTTTAGTAAACTTCGTTTGTAGATTAATAGAATGTATTCTCATAACAAAAACATAGTAAATATGAAAGGAAAAATACAATAACGTCTAATAATGTGTTTCAATGAAGTTTAAATCTAAATATCGTTTAATAATTAGTGTAATTTCATGTATGACTGTTTGTCAACTGCCTACATGCCGAGTGTAGATTCCAAAACAGGTTCCGATCATCCTGTGTGATCCTTGAGTCTTTTTAGTTAAATGGGATGAGATTCGACAAGGGAAACTGGATTTTGCTGGACTTCACCGATGGAAACGTCGTAGGACCAAAAGTTTTCATAAGGTGACATGCCATGAGGCCAGTCGGAGCCTAATACATATAAATAGATCTGACAGGCGTGATCGTAAACATACAATTTTGTGTTTATAGAGACAACTTTTCTTCCGTTCAATTAATTTACACTTTTCCTTCGTTTTGGATTACGCTGGGTTTCAGATCGGCCTCGAAATATTGCTGAATACTTCATTATTTTCAGTGTTTTCACCTGATCGTCCATAAAGACAGATTTCGAATCACCTGTCTGTTGAGAACTTTAAAATAAGATTATTCTTAAAGGCCTTTAACGAATTAACGAGTCTCCGGGCGCTCCTTTTAACGAAGATGGTCGTTTGGGTCACAAGTGAAGACTCATTCAATGGTAGGGGGCGATCACCGACCGTTCTTACGGAACTCACTCGTTTTGTTGTGCCTTACGGGCTCTCTCTCCAGCCAAACCAGCAGCCGCACAGCGGCGCATGAGATAGGCAGTGGGTTATTACCGACAAAGGCAAGGGAGACTGAAATGGCCATGTCTGGCTTATTAGCCGTCGTCAGCCAGTCATACCCAGCTCCGAAGTGTGCAACACCCTTGGGCTCGTTGAAGGCTGTGACGGTTGCGAAGAGCACAGCAAACCAGCAGATCGCATTACCCTGTTTGTGTGCCAAGGTTTATATCCGCTAGCTGCGTATGTTTAAGTACAGTAAAATATCAGCTCGACGATAGCCGGTAGAGTGGGAAAGGAGATGCCAAGCAGTAAACAAAAGCTAGAGGAAGTGCACGTAGTTTGCGAGGATCTACTATGAAATCTCTCGAAGTTTTCTTCGGTCTTGAGGCGTACACACAATTTCGCGTGGAGAACAGAGAACGTCCGCGCCCCTCGTGAAGCATTCCACTCTGCATCGCTCGGTCGTAAGTTCCGGAAGTGAGTGACTCTCCATCTCGCGCCTGCAGCAGCGACTGTTCCTGTTCATACACGCCTGGCCTCTGGAACACCACGCTGCTAATTCCAACATGACTACCGACGCCGGTTAAAGTGCGCGCTTGTGTGTACGTACACACGCCTTTGTCCTGGGTGACTAATAACTCAGCTTGTTCTCGCCAACCCGGCTTGTCGCGACCGCTGGTTAGACACTCAACAACATCTCTCGTCTCTCCCGGGTGTGCTATGGATAATGGTGCAGAAATGAACATTCCAGTCTTCCTTGTCTTTGTCAACGGCGTCGTGCCTGCGGGGCTCTAAATAGGATTACAAAGCGCAACAGGACGAACGCATCCTGTAGCCCACTCGATGAAGGTATTTTCGGAATGTATATATATATATATATATATATATATATATAGGCAGAATGATATTACCGACAAAGACAAGGGAGACTGGAATGGCCATTTCTGGCTTATTAGCCGTCGTCAGCCAGCCATACCCAAGCCCGAAGTGTGGAACACCCGAGCCTCGAACTCGCGACCTGTTGGTTTAGAAGTCAACGGCTCTACTCACCGGGCCACGATCCCGTTGCCTTGTCGGTTTTCGATCGGGAATATACAATGTTAGGGGGCGCTCACCGATCGTTCTTTGTCGGTAATATCATTCTGCCTATATATCATGCGCCGCTGTGCGGCTGCTGGTTGGGCTCGAGAGAGAGCCCCTAAGGCACAACGGAACGAGTGAGTTCCGTATGAACGATCGGTGAGCGCCCCCTAACATTGTATATTCCCGATCGAAAACCGACAAGGCAACGGGCTCGTGGCCCGGTGAGTAGAGGCGTTGACTTCTAAACCAACAGGTCACGAGTTCGAGGCTCGGGTGTTCCACACTTCGGGCTTGGGTATGGCTGGCTGACGACGGCTAATAAGCCAGAAATGACCATTCCAGTCTCCCTTGTCTTTGTCGGTAATATCATTCTGCCTATACATCATGTGCCGCTGTGCGGCTGCTGGTTGGGCTCGAGAGAGAGCCCTTAAGGCACAACGGAACGAGTGAGTTCCGTATGAACGATCGGTGAGCGCCCCCTAACATTATATATATATATACGTATGTACTGGAAGATGGGCATCCCAAGAAACATAATTCGAAGAAGAATGAGTCCTTTGGGAAAATGAACAAACTTTATTTCGTAAATTTTCGAGTCTGGTTCCCCCCAGAGCTTTCGTACGCAGATGCATGTAGGAGCAGGAATCAAAAGAAAGAGAGAAGGAACTAGATTGTTCCGATCAGACGCCAAAACCAAAACATTGGCGAACGCTTCCTTACATTATAAATTTGTCTGAACTCGTTGCAAGACACCTGAGGAAGCAACAAATACAAGTGGCTCACAAACCGACTACCACGCTACGCAATCAGCTTGTACACCCTAAGGATAGGGTTGACTATTTGGATAAGAAAGAAGTAGTCTATAAGATTCCATGTGGCACTTTTAATGCAGTGTATTGTGGTCAAACCGGAAAATCCGCCTCTACACGCCTACATGAACACCAATTGGCAGTGAAGAGGCGGGACCACTTATCCCAAGTCGCCATGCATACTCTTGAAACTGGGCACAAATTCGTTTGGGATAAAACACGCATTGTCGGTTCCTGCCCATATAAGAAAGGCCGAGAATTCCTAGAGGCCATTCACTCTGATGATTCATGCATCAATCTACGCATCGACCTTGATACCATGTACACAAGTCTCAAAGAAAAATGGAAAAGGTAATAGCCAATCACGACGTGACATCAGCCCACAGCATTAACCCATCCTCAGTCAAGACAGAGCAATATCGATTTTTTTCGCATTGTTTAAATTTTAACTGTTTCTTCACACTTACTACACGTCTGAAGACGAGCTGGAGAATCAGACTCGAAAATTTACGAAATAAAGTTTGTTCATTTTCCCAAAGGACTCATTCTTCTTCGAAATATATATATATATACGGTCGACAAAAGCATTGTCATACTCCCGGCCGATAAAGGACGATCGACGGTCGTACTGAACAAGGAGGACTACGTCAACAAAGTCGAGGCCCTTTTGGGCGATAGAACTGCCTACATTCCTTGTGAAGGGGATATGACGAAGACTCTAATGAGCAAAATCAACAAGGACCTGGCAAGTCTAAAGAAGTCAAAAGCGATTACACGGCTTGACTGGCAGAGGATGAAACCAAAGGATTCCGCGATCGCGAGATTCTATGGTTTACCCAAGGTCCACAAACCAGGAACCCCCCTACGACCGATCGTTTCTCTAAGAGGCACACCAACGTTTGGCCTGGCTAAGTGGCTGTTCCAGCGTCTGAAATTCCTAACCCAAGGTTCTGAAACTACCATCCACTCAGCAGAACGATTTCTTGAGAAACTGCAAGGTATTCAACTTACAGATGACGAAGTGATGGTATCTTTCGACGTGGTATCACTCTTCACTTCCATCCCACAACATCTCGCGGTTGAAACTGTGCAATCCTTGTTAGAGCAACGTTATAACGAGACGGACAACAAACTTAAGATAAACCACCTTGTCGATCTCCTGAAACACTGCTTGAAGACCTTCTTCACTTTCAATGGAGCCACGTACGAACAAGTTAAGGGCACACCGATGCGGTCGCCGTTATCCAGCTTGATTGCTGAGGCAGTGTTACAGCGACTGGAGGCACTGGCTTTTGACCACTACCGACCACGATTGTGGGTACGGTATGTTGATGACACATTTGTCATCATCAATCGGGACAGGATTGGGGAATTCACGCAACATCTGAACTCGATCTTCCCAGATATCCAGTTCACGATGGAGGAGGAAAAAGATTGCCAGTTGCCGTTCCTCGACGTGCTAGTCCAGAGAAAAGGCGATGGGGGACTAAAAACAACAGTTTACCGAAAGGCGACAAATACCTCTCGTATTCTGAGTTTTCTCAGCAACCACCCCCTTTCGCACAAACGCAGCTGCGTAAGAACACTCTACCGGCGGGTAGAAACCCATTGCACAGAGCCAGCCGACAAGAAGGCCGAGGCTCAGTTCCTGAAGAAACTCTTCACCATGAACGGCTACCCTGGGAATTTCGTCGAAAAGTGCAGGCGAGAAACAGGGGGAAAAAAATCGAAGGGGCAGCCGAAACCGAAGTGCTGGCGTGCAGTTCCGTACGTAGCTGGTTTGTCAGAAGAATTCGCCAGACTGGTGAGCGAATTTGGGATCGGCGTCGCGCACAGACCTGAAGCCACAATCCGCCGTCAACTCATGCAGCCCAAGGATCCGATTCCCATAAATCAGAAATCTGGGGTCATCTACCGCATAGAATGCAATTGCGGTCAGGCCAGTTATGTTGGTGAAACCGGAAAACAGGTCCGCACGAGATTGCATGAGCATGAATTGGCCGTGAGACGGAAGGATAAACTCTCTTTGGTAGCCGCCCACGCCTCCTCGCCAGGACACGCCTTTGACTTTGGGAGCGTGAGAATACTAGGACAGTCAGACAACCGAGTTGCGCGCCTGCTGCAGGAAGCGTGGCACTCAACTGAGGACACGATTAATCGACATATCGATCTGCTAATCGCCTATCACGCACTGCGTGAACAAATCAACGGCGCAGCTAGAGGTCACCCCCGGCAGAGGTGAGCTAAATACACGACGAGCTGTACAGTTTTTTCATTCCTTGACGATGGGCTCGCGTGAGAGTTCGAAACGTCGGATAAATAAAACATTGGTCCCAGCGCTCGCCTTCCCGTCTTCTTCTATGCAATTACCTGGGCCGCGCGTATTCTCTATCATTCGGAATATATATATATGGATATAGGCGAAAATGCCGACCCCAGGTGTTGAGATGGAAGAAGGTAAAGAGATCTCTGGGGAGGATGATTTATTCATCTGACGTTTCACACTCATGCTTGAGCGCATCATCGGAGATAGATATATCAGGTGAATAATTTCAGAAATTAATCAGTGCAGAACTTGGAGTTAACTCTCGGGGACATGACTTTTTAGGGTCAGAACCGAAATTTCAATGAGCATTTGAGTCGAAGACAATCAACTACTGTGGAATAACCACGTGACGCCCATTCTACAAACAAGTAGATTTAACTCCATGTTCTGCACTGATTAATTTCTGAAATTATTCACCTGATTACTCTCCGGAGTTCATATAACGGAAACCGCTAGAGAACGCTGGGGGTCCCACTGAAGAGCCGAACCCCTCGCAGCTGTGTCATGCAGCGGCAGAATATCGGCGAAACACGTATCTAGGTCGGGAGTACGGTATAATACCATTACCATATAGAATTCATACTATTCGTAGTACTTCTTGTTTGTAGAATGGGCATTACGTGGTTATTCCACAGTAGTTGATTGTCTTCGACTCAAATGTTCATTGAAATTTCGGTTCTGACCCTAAAAAGTCATGTCTCGGAGATTTAACTCCAAGTTCTGCATTGAGTAATTTCTGAAATTATTCGCTTGACATATATGATATGTATATAAAAAAATTCACGAGTATACCTCGATTTACCGACGAGCCTTCTCCTTTTATTATATCGACTCGGAATGCATACTTCCTCCATTATTCATATATATATATATATATATATTTTTATAGGCAGGATGATATTACTAACAAAGACAAGGGAGACTGGAATGGCCATTTCTGGCTTATTAGCCGTCGTCAGCCAGTCATATCCAACTCCGTCGGTAATACAACAAGGACAACTAGCCTGCGGCTCATTGGTTAGAGGCGTTGGACTTCTAACTAACAGATCGCGGGTCGAGCCTCAGGTGTTCTATCTTCAGGGTTGGGTATGACTGGCTGACGACGGCTAATAAGACAGAAATGGCCAGTCCGGTTTCCCTTGTCTTTGTCCGTAATCCCATTCTGCCTATATCATTCGCCGCTGTGCGACTGTTGGTTGGACTCGAGAGAGAGCCCGTAAGGCAAAACGGAACGAGTGAGTTCCGTAGAAACGATCGGTGAGCGTCCCTCGACAATTATATATATTTATATAAATAAGTATTCAGTGAATAATGGGCACACGCAAGTCTACTGGCTACCCGAAGTAAACAAGTTCCCTATCGATGGCAAAGGTCACGAACAGGCAATCAACTACCAGGCCGAAGTCGGCCAAGTTATAACCAACAGACCCATCTGGTAGATCCCAGTGGTGGGCCAACTGCGCTAGGTGTGTAAGTGCGACGCATATTTGTCTTTTTGGTCCCAGCTGCTGACCAGGGTTATGATTGGCTGGATGAAGGGCAAATAAGCCCGAAACAGTACTGCGTCAATCCGCCCGCATTTTCTGTCGTCCCTCCTATCTGCTATACATATATGTGCCATAGTGGCTCACCGGCGAACAGAGCGCAAAGTCAGGGTGTATGGTTAGCTTGTGATTTTCTCAAAAATCAATCTAGACTGCGTAAGATAGAGGTCTGGATTTATGACAGTGTACACCTGGACTCCAGTCCACACTCCTTGTTAATTGTGCACCTTCAGCAAAAGACGTGACGCCGATTTACTTGGCACCCGCTCAGTTCTCGAGCCCTTACACACAACGCCCACACCTGATCATTAGCGTGATTAGACAACTGCTGGCACGGACCACACAACCGCTTGTGCACTCGCCGACACAGTAAACGACGTCCTGCCAATCTTGTTTTCCAGAGCTTTTATTCGAGAAACCGTTATTGTTGGCTAATGTAAACAATGAACTCTCTACTGGGGACCGTAGGACAAAAATCCAGTCAGAACTTATTCCATCTTCTCCAGGCTAAGGGGAATTGAGTAGTTGGGCTTACCAGCAACCTTGTCCGGGGCAACAAGTGTCACAGAGTACTTCGCAATCCTTCTTCTGATGTTCCTCGCCACCGTAGGAGACATAGGCGAGCGAGAGTCGGGGAACGTACTTTCCGGGAATTTGTTCACCCTCATGCATGGCGCGGCATATGTAGACGCCGGGCTGTGTCTCAATGGCACCCTCCGGAAGGTCGCCGGGTCTTGTCTTCACCCAGGACAAACCAATCTGCACACCTTTGCCTATTTTGGCCATGATTTAACCTGTTAATGGTGAAAAAATCGATACTCTTTTTGCAGCATCCAGTTGTAAAGTGTCGTTATTAAGCATTGTCCTCCCCTTTCACATCCGGAAACTTTCTCAACAACCACCTACGGAGCCGCTGTTTCGAGGAACACATCAACAGTGTTCTATAGTCTTACTCCGCAAATGGTGTAACATCAAGACCAGTCCTCCATTGGTTTACTACTCGGTACGTCAGCTGCCAGTCTCTGCTTACCATATCGGGTCAAAGAATACGACGTATTTCAAACATGATAGGTATTTGGGAATTCTTCAAGGTTTCTGACAAGCCGATTTAAAAGACTGACTCCCGGTAGATGTGCTAACTCATGAAATATCAGCCGAAATTCTGAAACGTGTTTTCGACTCAAAAATATTACTGAAGAAGGGTTGTCATATACAACGTACTCCCATGTTAATTTAGTTACTTGTAAATGATCTTCTTTTCAGCTGTTCTCAAAACCGGAGCCTGTGAAAAATAACCACTTAAATAGTAGGAACTTTTTCCACTGACTTTCGACGCTTTTACTAATCCAAATATATCTCAAAGAATAGCATGCAAAAATATGAGCTCTGTTACACATTTGGTGGCAAATTACGTCTTTTTCAAATCTGATCCTTGAAGAAAGGGTATAATTTGGTTTTAAAAAGCCTTTCCAACTCCCAAATGTTTGTGAACCCGACCTGTCGCTACACTTGTATTCAGGGCTTACAAACTACAAGCTGTGTATTTTCTGTTAACAGAGAATAATACAGTTCTATACGTCATTAAAAGGTAACTGTATGAGGTTCACTAAATCTAGCGGTATCTTTAAGCCATATTGTAACCTTTACAGGCAGTATTTGTAAATGAAGGACACGAGGTTTTTTGGGCAGACACTTCACAGTCTAAAAAAATTTCATAGTTAGAAACTTCTTGGGACCGAATTACACCCTTCCTGCAAGTATACACTTTGCAGAAGACGTAATTTTTCACCGAATAAGCGAAATAACGAGTGTTTTATGCACGTTTTCTTTGAAAGGTCTTGAAAATCGATGAGAAAAAATCTTACTACTTATGTAGTCATTTTTTCACAGGCAGCAATTTTTGTGAGAAGCCGGAAAGAAGATAGTTCTAAAACTGGCACCCTGCAATAACTTAATCTCCTTGGAATTATGTTGCATATTGATTAATATTATAACCCCAATTAAGCAAAATTTTTGAGTCGATAACGCATTTTAGAATTCCCGCTAACATCGCATGGGTTGGTACATCTACTGTACTTATAAATGTTGCAGTCTATCAGTATTCCAATCGGTCTCCGTCGGAAGGTGGGACAAAGAGGACTGACGGAGCCCTAAGTGGTCGCTTTAGAACCTCCCTCTATTAGTTGTTAGAAGTCCTCCGTCTCAGGTTAGATAAGTACCCATCTTAAACGATCCGTTTAAGTGCCGTCATAACTAGACTCAAAGCCTCAACATGTAAGGTTAAGACATATTGAAATCTGAGCATTCAGCTGATCATGGGGAGCAGGCTAACGAAGAAAATAGCCAGAAAAAAAACGGGTTTCGGCATAGACAAAAAAACCGTACGATAGACAACTCACGAACTTTGAAAAACAATCTCAGTTCCAGTTGCGGCGTCGATCAAACCTATTTATGTAGCGATGACGGTGAAGAGCAGTCCGCCACGCTGATTGGACATTTCCGACCAGCGCTGATTGACAGCCAGCCAGTCAGAATCCGATAACGTGTCACTAGATGGTGCAATCCTGCGCGAGAGCGCGCGCGGACTAAACATGCGACGTGTGTAAACCCGCTGACGTTGCCACGACAAGAAGCTACCTGCCGTCTAACCGCAGAAACAGATCAAAGAAACTCCGATAGGCTCTCAGGTCTCTTCAATAGTAGTGAAAATGCGATTCCCAGGTGGCATATCAAAAGAAAGGGAGGCGTTCACCAGAAGAGGTGTATTGGAGGTCTGACGTTTCGCGTAGTCGTTTCTTCTACCCATCTTCAGTGACTGAGCAGTCATGTACACAGCTTTCCTTATATGGCGCACCAGTCCCGCCTGTGTGGCTAAATCCGACCGAAATGTCACCATGACCTGATTCCAGCCCATCTTCGTCGGCCGCGGCGATAATTGACGGCCCCGATTGTCCCGCGCCGTGACTGTCCCCCGTCAAGAATGTCCGTAAAGCCAGACCTGATCCCTGATTAGGAGATGTCGGCTGTTGCCTGCCGACTTCAGTGCAGCTGTGGAATGTGCAACTATGTTGGGGAAACCGGCCGACGGCTGCAAACGCGCATGCACGAGCATAAGTTGGACGTGCAAAGGTTGGACCCAAAGTCGGAGTAGGCAACCCATGCCGCCCAAATGGGACATGTCTTCAACTGTGATGTCGTTGAAATTGTGGGCCGAGGCGATGAGCATTCGGCAAGACAGGTGCAAGAAGCCTGGTTGTCTACGGCCACATCAATTTGTCTCCCCCCTATCTGGTTTTACAGACATTCTTGACGGGGGACAGTCACGGCGCGGGACAATCGGGGCCGTCAGTTATCGCCGAGGCCGACGAAGATGGGCGGGATTCAGGTCACGGTAACATGCGGGTCGGTGCAGCCTCGCAGGCGGCATTGGCGGGCCAGGTATCAAACAAAGTGCTCCATATAAGGAAAGCTGTGTTCATGACTTTTCAGTCCATTAAATGGGTAGAAGAAACGACTACTCGAAACGTCAGACCTCCAATACACCTCTCCCGGTGAACGCCTCCTCTCAGGTCTCTATTCCGCTTGTGGAATACGCCCTTGGCGAGTTCGAGGACACATACGGCAATCCTGGTGCCGTTAAAGTTACGGTACATTCAAAGTGATCCGGCAATGCGTTCACAGGCGGAAATTGCCTCCGATGAATGATGTTGAAAGGATATGAAGCGACAAACTCGAAGCAACAGCGTAAGGGAACGCAGTTAGCGTGACAGTGTGCCTTTGCACGGTTGTTTCGCGTAATTCAGTCCAAGTCATTATCTAAACTCCTACGCCTTATTCATGCTACTGACAAGTTGTCAGCGACCGCGCCTTCCTATCCGTGAGCATGGCGATCTTCACAAAAGAAAACAGCAGGCGAAGCTGCGTAGGAACTCAATCATATCTGGCAGTTGCGTTTCGGTTACGTCGGGGTTACCGATTCCTGGCGTGGAAGTAGTGAGTGTATTCACCGCCGCAGTAATCAAGCCAAGTCCCGATTAGCAGAAGAAGATAGAAGACACCAGAATGGCGGCACTCCATGCACGGAGACCTGATTCGCCGTCTTGAACAGCAGAGGTCACTGGCGAGGTCAAGGCATGCTCGGGAGAATGAGACAGTGGCGACGGTCGCCATACGGTCAACACCGGCCCTTCAAGGGGGTCCGGGAAAGCACCAATCCGCGAATAGCTGAGATCTGCAAACACTTGAAACTCCTAAATAAACACTTATCACTGTCCATTTTAATCTTCGAACATCATACAGTAAGCGTGCTAACTCATGAAATGTTAACAGAAATTCTGATATGCGTTTTTGTTTCGAAAAGATTAATTAAGTAGGATTGTAAACTAGCCACCGTGCATTACAATTCTATAATTATTCAGTCCCCCCAGGATTCCGGCTTTCGAACAAATTTTTTTCATCTGCATTCAAAAACCACACGCTGTAAAAAATGAATACTATTTTAGCCTGCATTTTGCTCATTGATTTTCGATGTCCTTAAAAATTCAATTATATTTCATGGAAAACATTCTTAAAAATATTCATTATTTTGCTTATTTGGTGGAAAAATACGTCTTCTTCCAGTTTTATACACGAAGGAAGGATACTATTGGGTTTTCAAAAACTTTTCCAATGTCCAAATAATTTTGAAACCGACCTGCCGTCACACCTGCATTATGGGTTTCAAAACTACGAGCCGTACATTTCCGTGTACGGAAAACCATACCTTTCTCTATGGTATTAAGAGGAAACTATGTGGAATTCATAAGATTTTGCAGTGGATTTGAGCCACATTGTTAACTTTACAAGCCACACTAGCAAATGCAAAGACCCGGCGTTTTAATAACGGCCATTTCAGGGTGATAAAAAATCTCGCATTTAGAGACTTTTGAAACCAAATTATACATTTCCTGCGGGTATGAAATTCGAAGACGACATAATTTTCGACCGAATTCGCAGCAGAATGAGTGTTTTTATGCCCGTTTTCTAATGAGAATAATCGGATTCTCAAGGGCATCGAAAATCGATGAGAAAAATGCATGCTACTCAAGTACTCATTTTTTGCATGCAGCCGGCAAAAAAGTTTGTTCAAAAATTGCATTCTGAAATAACTGAATTATTATCAAATTATGTCACATGATTACTATTTCCACAAGCCTACTAAATTGATTTTTTTGAAACGAGATCGGATTTTGGAATTTCGGCTAGCATTTCATGATTTAACACACCTACTGTATGTGCCTTAAGTTATCCTCTCAAAACACCTTCGTAGTACTGGGCTTTTAAGTACTACCTGTGATGCCAGTATTGCAAATAACTAAATAATTACATAGTTCGGGATGTCTGTTAACGGTTTTTGACGATTGCACGGTTATTCCGCAATAGGTGGTGGGTTTCAGCTCAAATATTCATGTCAGCTTTCGGGTCGAGCCTAAAAAGGGCAGTTCCCAAGAATTTACTCCAAGTTCGCGTACTTATTTCCTCTGAAAGCAAACAATTATGATTACGTGTTATGCTCACGTAAGTATTGATATTTGAACATTTGAAAATCACTTTTATCATCAAAAATGCATTCAGCCACGAAAGTAAGTGAAATAACTATCGAATATCTAAGATATGCTCTGCGAAAAATAGAAACCCGCGAATAGGCGGAAGTCACCTGCACTAGATTTGCAGAGTAGGTCTTCATTTCGAGTGGTATGTGACGCACGTTCCGAGGAGTGGTTTGCTGCATTCGTCGAGGGGTGGCG